CTGATGTAGCTAACTTTCAGGGTGCTTAGTGTCTAGTGGAAGACGAGTGCCTTGAAAGCGTGTTATTTCGGACGGTTCTCCCACAAGGGTTGTATATTGACCTTGGTCCCCAATATCCCCCACTTCCTCCTAATCCTCAGAGCCAAGGTGGGAGTAAAGAAAGGGAAGGTGAGTATTCTAGTGCTGATGAATCCTCTGAGACAGACTCTGATGATGAATCCTCTGATGATGAAATAGAAGACATAGATGATATGGTTAAAGATAGGGAGTCTAAACATATGCCTGATGTTGATTATGACAAGAAGTACCCTCCTATGTTAGTAGGAACAGTGTATTCAGACATGGATGCTTTTAAGATTGCTTTAGCTACTCATGCTGTTAAACATGAGTTCAACTATGACATTGAGAAGAGTGATACGGGGAGGTATAGGGTGAACTGGTCACAGTAGAGTGAGGGCTACAGGTGGAGACTTCATGCCTCAACTCAAAGGGATGGACACACTGTTAAGGTAATGTGTTGGTATATTGTTTTCATTGACTGCTCCCTATTTTTCTTGCATTGTGTGGCTTGTAATAAGTGCATTACTTGACTATTTTGTAGGTGAAAAGGAACCTCTACCCTCATGAATATCAGAGCACTAGGAGGCAAGGAATCTGTGTAGGGGTAACATAGTTCTGAGTGTGCAGTCAGTTGATTGATTGGCTGAAGAAAGACAGAACTCTGGGTGCAACAGAACTGCAAAGGAGGTTGAAGGATGCACACAAAATTATGGTGCCCTATAAGAGAGTGTATAAAGGTAAAAATCTTGCCATGGATAAGATTTATGGGCCTTGGGACAAAGTTTTGATAACCTGTATAGGCTTAAGGCCTAGTTAGAAGAATCAAGTCCTGGATCATTTCTTTTCATTGATAATCACACCATCAACAATAAGATCAGGTTCAATAGACTATTCTTTACACTAAACCCATGTGTTGATGGATTTCTTAGAGGTTATAGACCATATCTTGTAGTTGATAGCATATCTTTAACAGAAAGGTTTAGGGGACAGTTGTGAATTGCTTGTGTAGTAGATGGGCACAACTAGATGTATCCAGTAGCTGTTGGTGTAATTGACTCAGAGACCAATGAGAATTGGGTGTGGTTCATGGAGAGGTTGAAGGAAGCAATAGGCACCCTAGAGGGCCTGACATTTTGCACAGATTGTGTCTAGGCAGTCATGAATGGGGTTAGTGAAGTTTTTCCAAATGCTAAACATAGAGAGTGTATGTATTACTTAGTATATAATTTCAAGAAGAGGTACAGTGGGAAGGTATTTGATGGTCACTTGTGGGCTTCTTCATATTCATGGAGCCCTTACATGTTTGAGAAGCACTATCAAGCAATGGTTGCAGCCAAACCTGAGGCAATGAAGTATCTGTAAAAAACTCACAAAACATTTAGACTAGAAGCCAGTACAGGACATTGTCAAAGGTTGATTATGTGACTAATAATTTGGCTGAGTCATTCAATAATTGGACCAAGCCTGAGAAGGGAAAGTACCTAGATGACTTGCTAGACACTATAAGACAGAAGATTTTGATCAAATGGAACCATAGGAAGAAGATAGCCAAGAAGTTGGAAGGAAAGATTCTACCTCACATCATGCAGAAGCTAAGGGAAGATAGTTACAACCTGGACATTGAAGTGATCACAACCTCCCCTGATGGTGTGGCAGAACTATGTGTTAAGAGAGGTAGTGGCTTTAGGTTTGTGGTCAGCCTACCTAACAGAACCTGTTCTTATAGGGTTTGGTAGGGGTTAGGAATCCCATGCAAGCATGCAATAGCCTACATTGCTTTTAATTCCTGGTGAAAAACTAGAAGACCATGTGGATGATTACTTATCTATCAACAAATTTAGAGTTGCATATGAGGGTTCCATCCCTTGTATTCCTGACAAGAGCATGTGGCCCAAAGCTACTTATGGCTTTTTCATGCACCCTCCCTGTCTTAGGTCCACAGGAGGTAGAAGGAAGAATAGGATGAAATCATCACTTGAGGGAGGCAGTAGCAAGAAGAGGGCAAAGAAACTTGAGTGCCCCATCTACCATGAGTTAGGGCATCACTGGTACGCTTATAAGAATGGAAATCTAGAAGATATAGCTACAATGGAGGCTGAAAGGTAAACAATGTACCTAAATTACTTTGCAGATACATGTATAGCTTCAATAACTATTGTAACTTTCCTACACAGGGGTCTTCCAAAGAAAAGGCTAAAAAAAGCAACAAGCTGTAACACAGAGACTAGCATTGTGGTTGCTACTCCATCCCAGATGGTGTTCCCACACAATGAGGCAGTGCTTAATTCTACACACAAAAAAAGGAAGAGAAAATCTTCTTCTTCTTCTAGTGCCAAGAAGAGCAAGGGGGCAGCTACCACTACTACTTCAAGCCTAGGTCCAAACAGTGTGTCTAACAGGTATGTTTACCAGCTCTTCAATTGATCACATCACTTCTATTATGACTGCTAATGCTAATGCACACTTTGCCTTTTTGCCACAAGGTCTGGAACTGGTTCCAATGACCTAGTTCCAATCCAACTGTGCACCTAGCCCCTTTACATGAAGACTATTACAATAGAGACAGAGCCACTGGAGACTGTGCTGCCCTAGGCTTCACCAAGGAGGAAGATAGGGATCAAGAAGAAGCATACACCAAAGAAGCTCCAAGTTGCAGCAGCCAACCCATCTAGCCCTGCTTCAAATACCAGAAGCAAGAAGAAGCTACAGCTACAGTGAAAGGTGCATGCTCAATGTTCTTTTGGTGATGTGGTTCTGGAAAAACACCTGCTATGTGATGGCATGATTGTTCTTTTGCTCTGTGATGAATGTTCTGTGATGGCATGACAATACTTAGCTATAGATGAAAACCAGTAACTTAGCTGTTATGTGATGAATGTTGGTGACATGTTGGTGCCATGAAACCTTTGTGATGAAAAACAGTAAGGTAGCTGCTGTTATGCGATGAACATCAGTTATGTGATGAATGTTAGTTTACTGTTGCAGTACTCTAATTGTTGTTATATTGTTCTCATATATTTTGCATTCCGGACAAATGAACAACCTTCATATTCATCATTCAACATTGATTCATTCATCCATCCATCCATCCATTCATCCATGACTACTCACACACACATAGGCACCTACTTCTTCAAAATAGCATACAAAGCAAGAAATATGCAAACATAGGCCATCTTCTCAATCCACCTAAGCTGTTGTAGAACCCTATTGTTAATTCTATTCTCCACTTGTGCAACTCCAGCAGCTTAGAAACCTTCCCGAATGATGGCAAGAGGAGCTGCAGTAGGGAAACCACCAGGTGGTGCCACTGCCTGCAAGGGAACTGCCTGTAATGGAGCATGGGTTGTAGGTGTCTGCACTTCAGTGTCCTCCATTTTATCCTCCCACTGATCATACTGATAGCTTCCAATCTGAAACCCAAAGCATCAACACATTATCACCAAACAACAAAAAAGAAATAGGCAAAGGAAAAAATGAGCAGAGAAGGAAACACAAACTACAAAATAGGGGCACTTGTGAAAGACACGGTTGTTGTTCTTCCTGGTCATCGAGATGAACCGATTGACAAGCACATGACAGTTGGGGCAAATCATCCGCTTGACCCTACCACCATAGCTGCTAGAAGCTGATATGGCTATGGTAGGAGAGAGGCGAAGAAGATAGAGCTCAAGTTGGATGAGTAGCAACAGATAGGACTGATGACCTATATATAGGAGGAGAAGCCCATGGGCTCAGTTGGCGCCAACCCTGGCTTTGGCGCCAACCCTGGCTTTGGCGCCAACACTGGCACTAACACCATAGCCTTTGACGCCAAAACGCTTGGCCTAGGGCTGGGCTAGGGATGGCACAGAAGCAAACCAACTAGCTCGCAAAACCCCTCAAGTCTAAGGGCATCTAAGTCATTTGACTGCGTTGTTACCCACCGTTAGGAGCAAAACTGAACGAAATAGTGTGTTGAACAAAAGAATTTAGAGTCATGACACCAGAGACCGTGCGAATTTTTTAGTGACGTATAGGAATGTAGCATCGTTCATACTAGCACGGGCAAAAGGCTCAAATACCAACTTCTCCGGTGGAATCCATGTCTCCCAACGCCTATCAATTCGGTGAATGCCGTGTTCGGCTGGCTGACTTGCCTTTTTTTTAGCTAGAGTAGTGTTTTTCTCTCATAAAATTTCAGTATAAATAGTAAAATCCAGCGTAAACAGTGCCCATTTCAGTCCAGCCGAACAACACATAAGTCACTAGCCCTGCCATCAGCGGCACTGCGGCAGCGTTTACTCCCGTGTCTGCTAGCCTAGCGCCCTAGCCTGCTGGTGCGGTGATAAAAAAATTGTTTTCTATCACCGCGATGTAGAGAGAAGAGAAAGGGGTGGTTTTGGCGGGGAAAGGGAAAGAGGTAGAAGCGGGGACTTGGGCCCTGGCACAAGTGTTCAAGCCCACGCGCTTTTGGCCTCCAGCCCCCCTCCTATTCAGGGGCACTCACCCAACGGGTGGTGATCAGTTTCAAAATACCAGTGAGGCATGGATCAATTCAGTACTCACAGCTGCCTAAACAATATACACCCAGGTGCAGACGTGCAGTCACCTGACAGTAGGGATGAAAGTGGGCTTAGCAGACGAGTTCCACCGTGAACACCAGGCTCCAGTGGACTAGAACTTCAATGTATGTGTGCATCTCCATAACAGAGGGATGAATTGCTTCCACTATGCATACAGAAACAAAGGGGAAAGAAAGGCTTTGGAAATCTCTCCTTAGGCAACCTCCGCTTTCAAGTTTCGTCTGAAGCAGCAGCACGCAGAAACAGTTCCTGCCTCTGGCGACGATGCCAATCACCTGATAACAGTACTGAGTGTAACTGCTAGCCTTCTTCAGGAATGAAGAATAACAAAAAAAAAAGTTTTTCCTTGTATATGGGCGATGGTGGTACGTGTGTCTACTCTGTGGCAATCAGAAACGGAAGTCCCCTGAAAGGAGCAAAGACACTCTGATCAATTTCAAGCGCCAGAGGTCGTCAACCAGTAAAACAGAATCCACTTAAGTCCTGACAAGTGACAAATCAAATTTGGAACAAAGGACAATTACTTACCAGCCACCTCTTCTAGAGAAGTAATCACTGTCCAAGGAAATCGCGAGAGCAAGAGCCACTGCCCTTTCAGGCAAAGTCAGCTGGCGAACAACATGTAATTCTTCAACCTGGAGCATATTTGAGACATAAGCTAACTGGGAAAGGTGGGCACCCATACATTCAGGCATAACAAACGGCAAGTGATAACACTTACATCTGAAGCAAGAGCAAACTTGTGGATTTGCCCCTCATCACCAAACCGGATAGCATACTGGCCAGCATCCGTGAAGAGCTACAGTGGTCATAAAAACAAGGTAATGTTTATCATTCCAAACTCATTCATTCTTACAATCCCATTCCTTATATATAGTCTAGGAGCAAATGTAGCATAGTTGAGAAATAAAAACAGTCCAAGAAGATGCAGGGTGTAGCATAATTAAATCAGATGCATCAGACTCCAACATGGATCTGTTGTGAGATAGAATATCACCATAATTGTGTGATCAGGCAATGACATGTCTAAAAAGTTCCTTACAAAATTTCCAAGTGTAGAAGCAAGCAAAAGCACCACAGCAATTTAGATAGACAGTTCTTAGCGATCTAAGTTTAAATCATTAATCTGTATCCATGTCGATGAAAACATTGTTTGCTGTCAAATATGCAATCAGTTCATAAGAGCATGCATGGACATGGACGTCCATTAGGTATAACAAAAGTGTATACTTTGATCAATATACAATGAAAAGGATATTACCTCAAAGCCGATGCCCCTCCAGTTACGATCAATCTGAGCCAACAGTTTATCATCTTCATCTACCAGGCTAAAGGTCCAGTTCCAGAATCCCGGATTCTCAACAACTGCAAATTGCCTATTCCTGAAATATGATGAGATGGTTTCAGGAAGTATAGTAAGACAGGAACTGCTAGTGAACTGGGAGATTTGTACTTAGTCAACAAGATAAGGGAAATGTATCAGAATACCATATTACCCTAAGTACAGGTCATAAATTCTCCGCCAAAGGTGCCAACGCCTGTGTACTACACCTACCTCCTGACAAAACCCAAACAATGAAGCTTTATCAGCACTTCCCCATAGAGTCATATGCAGATGATAGTTCTACCCTAGTTAGAGCAATCTAGTGAAGAATATTTACATACCTTACCATCCACTTCTGCATAAATTGAGCTGTTGATCCACCAAAATGGCCTGCGAACCTAAACCCAGTAGCACAATTCAATATTTTTTTCCACAAAACACCATAGTGGCTTGCAGAAATATTACCTTAAATATCTCGTTACCCATAGCATCAGTTATTTCTGCAACAAATGGCCGCCTTGTTCTAAGTAGCTGAAACATGAACAAAAGGGGATTGGATTTGCACAAGTAATCTCCAAGAAGTAAAAATCAATTATAAGGATACACTCTTTTCTTCCAAAAATCACAATTATAAAGCCAATACATATTTAATGCTTGACATCACGGTATCTATATACCAGTTATGAACTTTATGATAATAAGGCAATGCACTATTGAGATTTGAGATAATGTGCAATAACATGTCTAGACTAAATCAACAAGCACAACACCAAACATACCTTAAGAGGGGAAATAAGCATACAGAACAATTCTGAGAAACAACACCATCTACTGTACAAGATTAAAGACTGGGATGGCCAGCAACTTGCCACAAATTCCAAGAGTTGCCACACTTCAACCCACCCAATTATCCTCTTTGTCCATTTTACCAATCCCAGAAGCTGGATTTAACTACCTTTAACGTTACATGGGAATATAATTAATTTAAATGTCTTGATGTGCGGTCTTACAGAAAACATTGCTGCCAACTCTAATTGCATCAGCCGCTACAATAACAAATTATTTGCCAAACCACCCAAGATAAGATAAGAGCAAAATAATATAACGGAGCCCTGATTAAGAAACTTTAGTTATCAGTCCAACCTACTCAATAATGATTCATGACTGAAAGTGAAAGCCTGCCAATACTTGTTCTCTAGCACAGGGGGAACAAAGATATTTTTTCAGTCTCTCAGTAGCACATGATGCATGAGGTAGTGATGATGTTTCATATGGAAATAAAATACAGTAGATAGTGACAAGGTACAATTAACAATATTGACTGCACATAGTGTATATAAGAATAACTAAATCCAAAAATCCCAAGTATGCAACCAATTTGAAGTGAATGCGAAATCAGATACTTCCAACATAGGGACTAGCGGATTGCTATGCAGGTCAATTGAATTTTCTTGATCCTTGACTCAATTTCAAAAAATGCCATGAAGACATAGAACAAGCTAACACAAGTTTATTTAGGATCAAGAAACCACATAGAATCATAGACATACCTGCCTAAAGATGACGTTGCTTTTCTCTCGAATAAAACCTACTGGCTGGACATTGCAAGAACAAGGAAGTCAATGCTCAAAACATAGGAGTAAAGAGTTAGAATACATAGATAATGCAGCAAGGGAACCGATTACAACAAGGACAGAATAAAAAACTTACAGATTGTGGAAAGAGTGGGTCCATTATGATATACCTGCTCTCCTGCAATCCAGATGATAATATATAAGATTTTGAAAAGAAATGGTGAAGCATCTTAAACCAGAAACTTGTTGCACATGCACTAGTCTGTACACACAATTACAATTCACCTGCTCAAAAGCAAACATGATGTTCGCCCACTCAATATCCCTGGCAATGATGAGGTTAGCTCTTGCAAGAAGCGGAGCCAGTTTGGCCTATAAACACATTAAAAATATATTATCGGTTATTCCAATAGCTACAGAATAATTCTTCAAATTTGAGCACAGGGAACATTGCCAATCAAGATAAAGCACAAGTAGCCAGGCACAATCAAGCAAAGAAGGTAGGAAAGATTAAGAAATAGGGGATACTAATTTAATACATTTTTAAAGGATTGGACAGTTTATAAAAACTGACAGGGCAGCATAGGATTCATGGATCAATTACTCTGCCTAACAAATGCATATTGACCTCCAATTCCAACATTTTTTCTTAATTTTTGAAATACTGACTATATTATCTTCGTGCAATCTCTGAAGCCAGTTTGGCCTATAAATACATTTAAAAACATTATTAGTTATTACAATAGCTACAGAAAATAGTTCTTCAAATTTGAGCACAGGGAACATTCCCAATTCCCAATGAAGTTAAAACATCAAGTAGCCAGGTACAATCAAGCAAATAAGTTAGGAAAGATTAAGAAATATGGAACAATAAAACAGATGGTTAACTGGGTGAGAAGTTTTTAACTGACTGGGCAGTATAGGATTCTCACACTAATTAGTAATTATATTACTCAGCCCAACAAATGCATATTGACCTCCAATTCCATATTTTTTCTTAACTTCTGAAAAGTGAAAATAAGAGAGTATACTCTCTTTGTGCACTCTCTGTAGCCCAATTATCGAATAGTCTAAGATAACATCGGATCAAATCAAATGTTACCACACACAACAATGTAAAACAAACTACAAACAGAAGGTTCAATTAGAATTTCAGAATCCGCTTGCCTCGAAGGGGTTGAGGTCCCGGTATTCGTACTGATAGTTCCTTGACGGTGCCTCCCTGGCCGCTCCCGCAGCCTCCACAGAACTCGCGTACGCGCCGAGCGAAGGCTCCGCACCGCCGCCGGCGTTCCCGGGTGACGCGCCGACGCCCCACCTCTTCGCGGCCTCCTTCTGCTTCCTCAGCTCGTCTACCCACAGCTTCCGCAGCCACTCCCGGGGCACCGCCGGTGACCCATCCCGGCCGCCGCTGGCGAACCCGTGGGATCCTCCCTTGACGAGACTAGGGGTGGACCTCGCCGCCGCGGAGGCCCTCCCGGCCGCGGCGGCGTGAGAGAGCAGCCTCGATAGCCACCGCATCGCCGCAGCGCAGATAGGCTGGGAGCCGGGAGAATTCTGACGTTCTGGAGCCTAGATTGATGGATGATGAGTTCCGGTATGTTCTGAAGTTTTTTCACGTTCTTTTTTTAGGACGATTCTAAATATAGGTAAAAAAAATAACTTTGATTGATGGATGGATGAGTTATTTGTCAGTCTGTGACACTATGACTAAACAAGGCGTCGGTGTGACTCCCCCCGGAGATCGAGAAAGGTGGTTGTTGCTGCGGGTGGGCTTGTGTCAGGTTGGGCTATGAGCCTTTATGCGGGGCGTAGCTCAGAACTGGGCTTTGTGTATCGGGTTCTTATGTGCTATATCGGGCCTCAGATGGAAAACCATCCACAATGTGCTCCTATTTTTCTGCGATTCCCTGAGAGTGGGTTTGGTTAGTTTGTTTAACAAACTAAACTAGAGTTCAAAAAAATAAAAAAATAAACTAACTCACCTGTGCTGTATTGGATATTTGGATGGCTGGATGCCATTGCTGTGCTGCGGACGAGCTACCGTGAAATCACCTCACCCGTGCTGGTACTGTGATGCACAACCTGAGCGCCGGGTACGCCGTGATGCTGACGAGTGACGACGCAAAGTGCTTCCAAGCCCCGAGGAGCGAGCCGGCCAGCCGGCCAAAGGCGCGGCCAGCCCACAGGACGAAGCCGCCGTTGCCCGGGAGCTCGGCCGCGAGCTAGGCGGTGACGAGCGACTCCGGCCTACAGTAGCTCAAAGTGTTCCATGGTATCACATCTCATAAAGCCATACGAGCATATCAGGATTGGGGGAAATCCAATATGTGTGAAAAGTTTTTACATGCCAGCTCAAATAGTCGGAGTAGTTCGCTGGCACACTGTTTCGTGAATGCATGAATATGCACGCGTGAGCAAGAGGATGGCCAGATTCATAGCTGGAATAATAAATAAGGTATTTCACCACTGGATCATAAGCTTTTGCTATATGGACATCTCTAGCAGTAGCATGAGTGTGTGACAGAATTTGGAAATGTCAACCATAGTATGTCCCCAAAACTTGTCCTGTCTGAAGCCATAACTTTCATTAAACAATAGAACCATTGGCTCTGATACAAGTGCATCTCTAACACTTCACAATGATCAGAATTCAGAAACGTTTGGTATGCTTTTTGATCTTACCTTGTGACATTAAAGAGTTATTAGCAATGGAAATCAGGCATGGAGTCGCAAGCAGGTACCTGTAATGATTTTCTATATGAATGCCCGGAGTTCACATTTTTTAGGAGTGTGCAGTTACAGGTCCCTGTATTGATCCAATCACACAGCTACTTCTGTATCCAGTATCCATGGGCTATGTCTGCAACTACCATTTTCTCATTTGACTGAATATGAAGCACATCAGCAAGACAGTACACACCGGATAATTAGGATTCCTCACGTTCACAAACCTGTCAACAAGTAAGATGTGGTTTTAGGTGTACAGAACTAAGGTTAATATACAAACTGTAGTTGCAGTTACACTCAGTTTTTACGTTTTCTTGCTAGAAAACGCTAAACTTCGTTCTGACTCCTGAAGATTTATATTCAGGCTCAGAGCGCAGCTGAAATTAGAAAGCTGTTTATCTGCAGTTTTGTCAATCCACTCAAGACCGCTTGATTGCAGAAGCAACTCCATCACTGCATTCTAGTGCAATGTACTGACCGTTACATGCGGGATTGAAGCCCTGAAGGAGCATCAAGAAAGTGGTTTCAATAGCTGAGTGACAGGATCTTTTTTGGGAGGGCCGAGTAACAAACTCTGCGACACTAGGTACTGACTAGGCCGTTTTTTCGGTCGCTTGTTTGTATTAATAACCTTTGAATCTTGTGCAGCCTGAGCCACTTCTAGGTTCGGGTACGTGTGTGATCACACTTGCTTTCTTCTTAGGTCCTGTTTGAATCCTTAGAAATTAGAATTGAATTCATCTTAATAATCATAATTTAGACACATATTAATTAAGTTATTATGGTCGTATATGGATTATATTTGTATAGTATTATTGGCTACACAAGAGAGATATTTATGTGTTGCATTTCTACCGTAGGGGAGCGAGTTGAAGATGGTGTTATAGTAGAAACATAGAATGGTGATCTATAGATAAAGATGAGCAACGGGCCAGCACGGCCCGGCACGGCCCGAGCCCGGGTCAGGCACGGCCCGATCGGTCTCGGGCCCTTTTGGCCCGTCGGGCCACCGGGCCGTGCCTGTACATTCCACCGCGTGCCTGGTGGACGGCCCAGGCACGGTCCGTGGGCCGAATATTGGGCCGTGCCAGCCCATTGAGCTCGCGGCCCATTGGTCCATCGGGCCAGCCCATAGCCCTTTACACAGTAAACACCATATTTCAAACAGCACAATCACAGGTTCCAACTTCAAACAATCACAGGTTCACATATTCATATTCAACAATCACAGAAACACCAGATGACAAAAGATTTGAGCTGTTTGTGCAATGTCGCCTCATTAAAAATCTTTCTAGGTAAAACTCACACCTCGTGAGATAAAACCCTAGAAAGAAAAAGAGTACGGCCAGCTCAATAAATTAAAATGTTCAAATTGTTCAAAGTTATTACAAACCAGTTAGCTCAAATGTCTCAACTCTCACAACTAAAGTCGCACTCACAGCCTCTCAGGCTCTCAGCTCTCAGCAGTCAACCATCACCAGCAGTAGATGATCCACCAGCTTCATCATCAAGGTACTGCTCTTTGAAGTACTCTTCTAGCTCTTTGTCCTCCATAGTGTGCTGTCCACCGGATTCACCTAGCTCCCAGTCTTTGACACAGATTAGCATCTCCACGCTGTCCGCGCCTAATCGCCGTCGCCGCTCCTCAATGATCCTACCAGTAAGACTAAAGGTAGACTCCGAAGAAGTAGTTGATACAGGAACAATCATAATATCTTTAGCCAAGGTACAGAGAACTGGATAGGTTAGTTTATGCTCATGCCACCAATTGAGGATATCAAAGTCATCATCATATGCCACAATATTGTCACTGTCAAGGTAAACAGTGAGCTCAGAGAGACCAGGAGGCACAATAGATCCTGTAGATGCACTTGAAGGACCAGAAGAAACTGATCCTCCAAAAATTTTGCCCCATGCCTGCTTTCTCTTACCTGTCGGTCCAGATGGATGGGTGGTTCTAGCTGGCCTAGCAGCACCAAACTTAGATTCATACTTGTCATAGAGTTTATGCAACTCAGATTTAACCTCAGCAAAGTAATCAATGTAACTCATATTATTACTTAGAGCAAGCAAGTCAAGCACATTTTCCAGACCTTTCAACTTAGCCCTTGGGTCCAGAATAAATGCAAAAGAGTTTAGCAGTGGTATATTCTTCCAATGCTTAAGAAATTTATTCTTCATTGGCACAACTACAACAGCAAGAGTATTATCATGTTCAAATTCATGTAGATGGGATGCAATCTCAAGTATGTGATGCAGTACCAAAGGACTAGTGGGGTAATAAACACCAGAAAGTACAACAGTTGAATCATAGAACAACTCAAGGAACTACAATACCTTGTCAGCAATGTACCAATGCTGTTCATTCAATAGAGGATAGCCAGACTGAGAATTGATGAACACAGAAAACACAGATCTATATGGCATGAGATGTTTTAGCATAAGGTAGGTTGAGTTCCATCTAACATCCATATCCAAAGCAAATTTACGAGGCCTCATACCCTTAGCAATGCAGTAGTTTTTGAATTATGCAATACGATGATTAGATGAATTCATAAAGTTAATTGCAGTCCTAAAAACCTCTATGTGTGGTTTAAGCCTTTTCAAACCAGATTTAACAATCAAATTAATTATATGGCAAGCACATCTCTGATGCACAACATGATAGATCTTTTTACTAGGATTCAATGGATCAATATCATAACCCAAGTAACCAGCAAGCAGAGAACTCAAAGTAAGCATAGCAGATGTATTAGCAGATGCATTATCAAGGCTAACAGAGAAAACTTTGTCAAGTAGGCCCCAATCTCCAAGCACACCAGCAATAATTTCAGCAATGTTAATACCACTATGAGTCATTTCAATCAGTTTAAAGCCAATAACAGCTTTCTTAAGTTCCCACTCAGAAGTAATGTAGTGAGCAACAACAGTGATATAATCTTCCTTAGCATTGCCAGACCAGATATCAGATGTCAAACAAACAGAAGACACACCAGGCATTACTTCATTTTTTGGGTGATGCATTTTTTCATTGAAAAACTTAGAAAGATCTCTAGATGTGGTGAATCTAGACACTCTTGTATCTAGGATTGTGAGCGCACTGAATGTAATCATCCCAAGCATCATTGTCAGCAATAGATAAAGGCAGATCTAATCTAGCAATCAAACGGCAAAGCTCAGCTCTAGCAACATCAGGCCTATATTCCCAGTTCCTATAAGACCCATCAGGATTCAAAGCAAGCCTAGTTTGAACCAAATTAGCCTGTTCTGTTTTCTTCTTGCATGAGAGCATATGTCTTTTCAAATGATCAGTGCCATTAGCAGATTTACTAGACAAACGAGACTTACAGAGCTTACAAATAGCAACAACACGTACCTCACCGTCCACTGTCTCTATGATTTCATCAAAGTTAGCCCAGACAGGGGATCGGCGCTTACTAGTGGTGGACGAAGCCAGAGAAGTTGCATCGCTGGTTGCCGTAGCACTAGCCGCTGTATCGTCTCGATTGGTCGGAGCAGCACTCCTACCGAACAAGAGATGAGCAGCATCTCCCATATCGTCTTCGTCATCGGGGATCTGCCCTGTGGCCCTGAGCTCATCGTTGATGGTTGGACCATCGTCAAGCCGGCCATGGTAGATGGCACCCACCCAACTGGCATCGTCCCTCAATGCCTCCTGCGGCACCAGCTACACACCAGCGACCTACGAACCAAAAACACCGAGAAATGGATTAGGGTTCATGTGATTGCCTACTAGATCTAGAGTTAGGGTTAGGGTTAGAGGTACTTGC